TTCCCTAATTCAGGTAGTTTTAACACATGGTATTCCTATTAAAATATGAAATAACAATAACTCTCCCAAACTAATGTCGTTGATACATTGCTGCACAATAAATACAAATAGTGACATATTTATCGCATCACATACAAAAAACCTTCAATTACAAAGACAACTTCTATTACCAATATGCATTCAGTTCTTGTAAATATTGTAATAAATATCGACATGTTTAGCATCACAAATTCACTATTATATTTGTTTGATAGTGATTACTAATTACAATGTACCACTTTTCAGTAGATTTTGATTTTTTGTCCATTTGATTCAAAGTCAGAATTAGACATGACTTCTTCTTGTTCTCGCGAAGTCGTGCTTCTTGTTATCTCCTTCGCGAAGCATTTTTTGGTTAAAAATAATTTGAGTTTTCATCATGGTTGTACATTTTTGTTTATCCTCTTCATTTACACGCCTTGAAGGGGTTGAACCATTGAAGTGGTCTGCGAACTAAAGAAGGTTTGCTATTTTTTTTTTCAAAAAAATTCGGTTGGCTAGATAAGCAGTTACCATCACATCTCGCGCGTGTCTTTTAGAAAATGAAAATCTCCAACTTTGTTTTATTAAGGGCATTACTGTCTATTACTAATAAATTTCATATGAAACTTAGATGAGGCACAGGATTCATATTTTGGCATATTTCCTACATTTTGCTCCTAGATTGGGAATTTTTCTCATGATAATGATACGATCACACAAATTATATGACTCATATAGTTTTCGATAAGAGGCTCACATCAGCTGAGGCATATAACTTGTGAGTAATGATTACCAGTTTGTGGGGTTTGTAGAGGGTACATAATGACAAATATTGGAATGGCATGCAGACTTTAGCTATATGCATCATGGTGGGCTGCATTTCTAGCTAACAGCTTGGGGAGGGGCTCCCAACCCCCTCCATTGTTCATTCAAAAATCAACCATTCTAAAGCTTCCATATGTTATTAAAAGAAAAGGATTTTCCCATCCAAGTAAACACAGCTTAAATATCTAATGTTGTAATGGTTTAACTTTTGTGGTTATGAAAATCTGATTTACAACTTAGATTACATATTTGACCAAGCACATACAAAGACATCGTATATTTTCAATTCAATTCATGAAGGGAAGGAGTTAGAGATCAAAATTTTACATTGATGCTTGTTGGTATACATGATGACAGATGGTGACATCTTCAGCAATTAACTTAAGCATGAGGTCAAAGCCCTACACAAAATATTTTCTTTTTATGTTATGAGGTCAGTTAAACAAAATGCTCAGTTGGATATTCATTCTCATATCCATTGTAATCATAATATAGCCGTTCCCCCTTTCGGATGTCTCTGGTTGCTATCAACAAAACACGACTTTCACCATTTACGTTGAACCTCACACATTTCACATTCTGCTTTTTCCTTCCTTCCCTGCATTGCAACGTTTACCACATAAAATAGAGAATAGGGAAAAATAAAAAGGGAAGTTGGAAGGAAAATGGGGGGGGGGGGGATAATCATTCTAATACATAAACATATTATATAACGACTGAGGAATCTTACCATATGCACAATGCTAATCTTTTATATGTGATATGGTTTTCCTTTGTATATACGGAGTATGTAAAGGTAAACTCTACAAAAAAGACTTCTCTACGGGTGTTTTCCCTTTCCCTACAGTTATGTGTGTTCCAAACATAGGCTAAATGGACGAACTTACGGGGTATGGTTGTTGATGCCATTGATGAAGCGAGCTATGTTGCTTCGCTTATCTGGACAGATGACAAGGCATTCTAACGGATCCGCAGTGGAGAGTAGAGTCATCATGCTATCACCATCATCGTTTTGTCGATTTTTCAAGTAATCAACATCTCCAACATACTCAGTTATTATGGTTAGATCTCTTATGAATCTATCAGCTTCAACAGTAAACCTGTCGGTATGGATAAATGATTAACAGATTCTAGCTAAGAGAATGTTGCATAATGATGTAGACTAATGAAATAACTGCAAGTGTCTAGCTATGCTCACCCTTCTTTGGGGTCAAAGGCCACCATAAGAGGCGGGCATTCGCCTCTTTCCATCATTTTCTTGCACAAATTCAAAGTTTCTGCATCTTCTTTAGTCATTACCTGAAATTGCATTCCATATAAATCTTTAATCATTTGTTCTTTTAACGAAGCTGTGCGGGAGATACAACGCACAGAAATGACTTTCCATGACATTGTATTTCCATTCCATTGTGCACTTTCATGTTACAAAAGCACCAGACAACAAGATTAAGGATTATTATGTAATGAACATTCTTGATCAAGTCAAAATACCTGCATACCACCTTGCTCAAGTGCAGCCCTATTCACATTCCTAGGTGCCATGCCTGGCATATAAGTGAGTTCATTACTAAACTGGGCTGCAGATGCAGTTAATGCTGTTGCTAGCGATGCCATTTGCTCAAGTCTCCTACTAGGCTCATCGGTAGGATTGAATGCCAGTAATTTTCTCTTCTTCTTAGACACTGCCAAGCTACTAATTCTCCTTCGCCTCTTTTGGCAGACTAAGAAAAAATATCCAAAGTAGAGTTGAGACACTAAAGAAAGTAATAGTCAAAAGTCAAAAAGAGACGAAAGGAGGGAAGAGGCAGCATTCTGCTTCCACTTTACCTGCACTAAGCTTTTCTGTAGCATTCAACGATCTCTGGATACGGAAGAAGTCAACAATCTTAGTCTGAATGAGGGGAAATTCTGCATTTCCAATAATGCATAGTGAGTTACTTATTAGATGAATAAACATGAAAAAGAGAGTGCTAATGCCTAGTACAATTTCTAGATTTTTTATAAGCAACATAGCCTTTTATAAAAGATACACAAATGCAATATCAAGTGTCCCTCAAAATGCACAAAATCACTAAGCAAAATTAAGGCAGTAGACCTAAAATTTATAGCTAAATTCAGCTGTTGAACTGACAAATCTCACATAATCACCTAAAGAAGAAACAAGATCTAACCTCGAAAGGCTCAATACAGTAAGTTTCACAATAAAAGGAGAGTATTCGGTCTAATAATCAAGGAAATTCAGTTTACAGAAATACCCAGAGAGCAGAAACACAACATTCATATTAAACAGATTAAAAAAGCAATAATGGGGAAAATTAAGGAAACCCTACTCGTGACATTTCTATAGTTGGAGCAGGATGTGCAGAACCACGGGCCCTTGGGTACGGCAGCGAGGATTGGGCGGAGGCAAAACAGGTGAAACCCTCGATCGCACTTATCGCAGAGCAAAAGCTCAGATCCTCGATCTCCGGACCCACATTCCTCACAACACACATCACCAAAATCGTCTCCTTCACCTGCATCCGATCTGGACCTTTTTCCGGGCGATAAGTTCGGGTAAAACGGATTCGAAGCTTGGGTTCTCTTTCTAAGCACCATTGATGTCGGTGAAGCCTCCATTGTCGCGGAAATGTGAGGTCTGGTGCGGAAGATGAAGTGTGTGTAGCTGGCGGGGGTGAGAAAAAGAGAGTGGCATGCCCCCCGAAATGAACCCGTATATAAAAAACAGAAAACTCGTGAACCAAATATCGTACCGGCTTACCGCGCTGTTTATTTCGCGGGAAGACGGAGTTTGGCGCCAAAGGATCGTGTGCTTTGTGACCTGTTTTCAATTGGAGTACAATTTTTTTGATATACGGAGTACTTTATTTAAGTTTGATTTGGTCTTAGTTTTTAGGGTTTATTATGGAAATATTACTAAAACATATATGATTTCCCACAATATGACTATATCATGAGATTTCCCATAATATGATAAAAACATTACCATATTAATCATATAACTGTGCATCCATATCATTCCTACTATTTAGGAAGAGTAAAACACTTCCTATAAATACTCATACACGTAGTAATTTTGGAAAAAAACTCAAAGACTCATACATTGGGAAATGATTTATCTTTTAGTCACTACATAGATAATTTTCTCTAGTTTATTTAATAATCATTGAAGTCTAATATGATTGCTTATAGAGATTGTTCTGGTCGGATTTAGGCTGGCGTAGAACTAAGAACAGTGTAAATAAAAATATATTAGGCTTGTTATTATGGACCTATTATTTAGAGGCCCAATTTTACTTATTACAACCGTCAAATTGACTATTAATTAATAAGTAAGTTTAGTTTAAATACCTAATTTATTCTTATAATACTAGTAATATAATTTGAGTTTTTTACAAGAATATTACTAAAATAAAACTTATTTACATAAATATGACTATTCATTACTACAACGTGGTGTTGTAGTAACTTAAATTCAAAACTTGAACATGAATTACTATGATTTCATTACTTCTCTAGTAACTAGTCATATTTTTGTAAATCATCTTTATTTTGGTCATATTCATGTAATTATTTCATATAATTTCCAGAAAAAGAGGTAAATAAGTCTTCAAACTATTAGGGATTTTGCAACAGACTCTTGAACCAGAAGAACTAGCAAATAAATGGCTCAACCTATTGAAATAAAGTATTACGATCTTTTTACTTATTGATATTGGTAAGCTCACACGCAAAAGTTACCATCTTGTCATATCAATAGTTCAAAAAAGATCAAATTGATTTCAATGAGTTGAAGGGACATATTTGTATAATCTTTCTATTCAAAGGTCTTATTGTGCAATACTAATAGTTTGATTATTTGTCAGGTCTTTTGGTAATTTCTCATGGTATGAAGTCTTCACTCCCCATAGAATTATATGTAGCGTTCATCCATCTATTGATCATACAGAAGTGATCACCAGAAATCTGTGACAATGTAAATGATTATAATTCTTCTCAAAATTCTCAATATAGACAACCTTATGTGATTTACGTCATTTCATTTTATTATATTTAAATCTAAATATTTTTTTTTTGAAACAATTTTACTTCACTTTACCATTTTTGAAAGAATGGGAGTTTGAGACCAATCTACCATTGTCCACTGGTCCATCTCATCTCACCACTAGATAAAGATAGATGAGGGAAGCAGGGAGCAAAGCAGCAGCACCACCTGCTCAGATTTCGATGGAGATAAATTATCACATTTCATACCCTCTTTTTTCTTATTACAATATTACCCCCACCGAAAGAAATGCAGAAGCAACAAAGCCAATTACAGTATTTCTTTGGATTTTGTCTCCAGAAATTGCTTCCTCCATTTGAAGAACAGAGAAAATGGACGCTTTCACATCAGTGACACACCCCAGTTCATGCTCTTCTGCTTTCATGGGGCATAATTTTCAGCGTATATCACATAGTCGTTGTTCAGTCGCGGTAAAGGAAGAAGCAGTAACCTGGCGCTCAACTGCGGCGAGGTCTCCAAAGAGGCGGCGATCTTTGACCTATTTTCCTGCTACTCGCCTTGCGATCAGAAGCGCAGCAACCAAACCTTCCAAATCACCAGGTATTTGCCACTATAGATTCAAAACATACATGTAATAGCTTCGGTTCGAATTTGAGTTTGTTCGTCATTACTGCGTATGATTTTCTGATGGAACCATAGCTGAAGAAGACTGGTCAATTAAGAGAGCAAAACTGGTGGAGAAAAGAGTGAGGAGCGTAGACCCGAAGGAAGCATTGAGACTTCAAAACGAAAACAGCTTTGTGATTCTTGATGTGCGGCCAGAAGCAGAGTTCAATGAGGTAAGCCAAATCATCGGAATTTCTATGCAGCTTCTGAGTGGTGAATCAATGAAATAATTATCTGTGTTTAATTTGGTTTTATAATGCTCATTGTGATATGTGATGATCACAATTGATATAGTGCTGAGGGTAGTGTTTGGGGTCTGCTCAAACTCAAAATTAAGGGTGATATGGATTCTCTGGTTTGGTAGCTGAAATTGGCTCATTTTGCACAAATTGATTTGTTCACTTGGCTAAAAATGTACTCCCCCATTCCAAGTAAAGGTTCACACTTGCCTATTTTTGATGGCTCATTTAAAGGTTCTAGTTTCTTTTTTAGGAAATAAGTAACACTCTTAATGGACAACTTAATCATCACATATTAAAAATAATACATTCATAACATTACAATCATCATCAATTACCCATTGTATTATACTACGTATTATGTATATCCACCCCAAACTACTTCTCAAAATCTTAAAATTAACTTATTTCATTATTATCTAAAAAACTGTGCCATTGTTTATTTAGAACCTTCAGCCGGGATGGAGGTAGTACTCATTATATTATTTACTCGTTTCCTTTCAGAAAATTAAACAGATTCAGTTCCATACAATCCTCACTCAACGGCCTTTAAATTGGTTTGCTCCAAGTGAAGCCCTAATGGATTCAATAGTGTATTTTTTTAGGCGCACCCACCAGGAGCTATCAATGTGGAAATATATAGGCTGATAAAGGAATGGACAGCTTGGGACATTGCAAGAAGAGCAGCATTTGCCTTTTTCGGCATATTCCAAGGAACAGAAGAAAATCCCAACTTTCTTCAGAGTAATACTCTACTACATAGGCATCAAATCTGTGTGTGTGTGTGTTCTTCACCTTATGTCTTATGTGTGCCTACTAGCTTAACAACTTATATGTTTTAATATATTCCACTTTTTAGCCACACGTTTATTAGATTAATTTCACTTTATCCTCTTGTAATGTATTTTTCCAACTTTGGTACTTGATTATTGGTTTGTTGCAATAGACCAATCGTTAAATTCATGTGATCTACTTTGGTCTTAGTTGAATCAGTTGCTCCTTTGAATTTAGTTGACTCTCAGGTCATTATCATGTTTAGATAATTAGATTTAGGGTTCCATCGGTCACCCTAATACGAGGAATTTTCCTAAACTTCGTAGTTTCCTTTATTCTGAAAGATCCTAAAATATTAACCTTATTTAGTTGTAGCTGGTATGGAATAACTTAACATATATATCCAATTTACATGCATTATCTAACTAATTTTTTGCTGGAATAGTAATAAAATAAGGTCTGAAAAGTAAAAAGAAATTGATAGTTGTGCATCAAAAGTGCGAAAAAGATGAAAGTTAGGGACCAAAGGTGAAATGTACTGTGTCCGTGTGGAGTGTGGATGAAAAGTGGAGTATTTCAATTAAGTTTCTAACAGAGTATCTGATAAATGCAAGCAGCTGTGGAATCTAAGTTAGATAAGGATGCAAAAATCATTGTGGCTTGCTCATCTGGAGGTACAATGAAGCCATCTCAAAATCTCCCAGAAGGCCAGCAGTCAAGGTTCCACAGTCCCCCTCTCTTTTTTTTTTCCTTTTCTTGAAAGCTACTCAGATTAATTCATGTTTAATCCCAGGTCACTATAAGTGATTACTTACTCTTCTACTACCTCTGTGCAGGTCACTAATTGCGGCCTACTTGCTGGTTCTCAAAGGTTATACCAAAGTTTACCATTTGGATGGAGGGCTCTATGCCTGGTTTAAGGAAGGATTGCCAGCAGTCTCTAAAGAATGAAGCCAGAAACTTTTCTAGTCTTAGCAGACAAACTATCATTTTTAAGATCATGCTAGTGTTATGTTTTTTGTATAGAGCTGTTTTTGAAAAACATATCATATTGACAAGCAATAATTTTTTACCTACCAAGAAACGTGAGTTCTTGCACCAACTGGCTGAAAAGCGTCTGCAAATGAATGCAGAGGGCAGAAGGGGTCTTCAAAAAATCGATTTTAAATCCATATTAGTAAAACTAGTCAATGTATTCCTTTGGGATTTTTAAAAGCAGTTTAACATGGTTTTAACTTTTAAGCAAGATATTTTCAACAGTTTAAAGGATTTTTATAATCTCCAATATATGAGGATTTTTATGCTGTAACAAGAAGACTTTTCAAGACTATAATCTCTTTTATTACGTATTTCATATTTACCTTTCAAATAAGTAATACGTGGTACAATTTTGAAGTACCCATCGAGGTTTACATCTAAGAAAATATGTTAAGTACTCTTGTATAGGGATGACTCGGGTCGGGCCAGGTTGGTGGTACCGGTTTTGGAAAAGTGGAGTCCGGTATCGGCCCGATATGCTTTGGTACCCGTTCCGGTCTAGGCCCAAACAATATCGAGCCTGGGTCCGGCTCAGGCTTGGATCCAAAAAAACAAGCCCGAAGCCCGCCCCTTATAACCACCGGTCTGGGTATTGGAGGTACTAGTAGTACCAGTTCCAGGTCGGTCCTTGGTCGGGCCGCCCGGACCTAGTCCATCCCTACTCTTGCATGACAAAAGCAGTACAATAATCTTTTATATATAAAATTAAAGATTATACTAGAATTCCTCATATCATATTGAAGAATCAATGAATACAAACACTATTTTAGGAGAGATATTTCAAAGCTGGTGCAAACATAATTTAGTATTTGTCGTGATGAGTTTTAGACATAGTCTTGTCGAGACTAGAGCTAGAGTTGTATGTTTTACATCCCAAAACTTAATCAAATTCTGGGTCCTGAACCAAAACTAGAGTAGACACAGTACGTTTAATTCTAGGTAGTTTATACGTAGCCAAAAACAGATAGTTAAAGTTCGTATTTTTGTTGTTTAAGCATAGTTTTCCAAGCTATAATGATCAAGAAATTGTCCAAAACCGGATCATGAAGGTGTATAGGACTCGAATCCCCAATCAGATCTGAGTCGTTTACATTCCTCCAACTTTTCAAACATCGATCATTATTATAGACCGCCCAAACTCAACCAATGGTCGGTATCTAGGGGAAAACCGGACTCAATGTTTGATGAAATAACTTTAACGATCATTATCAAGTGATTCATTAAAAAGCGACAAATTTGTACTTAGGGCATCTTCAAGGGAGAGGTGGATTGCATTAAAAAAGTTTACCACCTCACTGAATGCACTTTTTTTTTTAAATAAATGTGCTCTCCATGCAAAAATAAATGAAGAGAGCCAAGCTGAGTTGGCAAAAGTGAGAGGATCAAAGTCTTGCACAAGATCCATTGGTAGATCTTTGGTCTCACTTCAACCAAGTTTAAATTGTAATGACTCTTCTATTTTTAATTGTAATTCCTTCCGCATTGGAGTAAGGAGACAGTAGACTCTCTTCAACTTGTTTATTTAGGCCCACATATTCAATAGACTCTTTGCACTTGGATGACACCTCACCACCAATGCACCAAAAGCATTGGAGATACGTACTCTTATGTTCATATGCAATTTACTTTATGAAGTAACAATTTTTCATTCTATAGCATATTAAATCGTGTTTATTAGCTCAATATGTGTCTATTTCTCATACTATAACAGGGGCTTCAGCTCCCATTTGTAAAGCAACTTTTCAAGGGCTCGGTCATCTCCTCACTTTTCTACCCTAAAGCGCATAGCACTAAAAGAGAAATATATTGATCTCTTGTGATGTTTGATGGAGTATATCTGTCTAAACCTACAACCCACACATTCGTAAAATACTATGTCCTGATCCATCGGTCATCTAAGGACACTCCGGGCTAGGATACTCTTCTAACCACCAGCAAGCAATCCGAACTGATTTCTGAAGAGCCACCTTAAATGAGAATGTGATTTTGACATTTGACTTTTGTAACTTTTGTTGCCCCACAACATAAGCATGTACCTGAGGACAAATATTTGTCAAAATAAAATCTCACACTCTTAAATAATATAAAGACGTTAATTTGTAACTACAAGCTAGTAGGGATAATAATCCATCAGCCCAACTCACAAGTTGTACGAATAAATACTCTAATATATCCTACCATATGTATTACGTAGTAACGTACACTAAATATATATTTATGTACATATGTCCTCTCCTTATTTATCTAATATTATTTATGGTGTAGAAAGATTCTAGGAGCAGTAGTTACCATTTTGCATTAGAAACAATTGTATATATAAATTCTGTATACGGCATATCAATGGAACCAAGGTTTTCCTTCTTCTCAATTTTATTTCTATTACTTTACCGATTCTTACCACTTCCGTATTATGGTATCAGAGACAGCGAATTGACTCTTTGTTTTGAGTTGAGAAATCAACTACAATGGTGACTTCCCAATCTAACGATGGTCGTATTAGGAAAATTAACGACCCCTCTTCGCCATATTATCTCCATAACTCGGATATACCCGGAATTAATATATGCGGTATTACGCTTCGTGGTGAAGAGAATTATCGTGAATGGTCTGTTGCCATGCGGAATGCGTTCCGGGCGAAACGAAAGCTTGGGTTTCTGGATGGATCGATCAAGCTCCCTGAAGACAAAATTGATGCCGAAGATTGGTACACCGTTAACTCAATGTTGGTGGGATGGCTTATTTCATCAACCGATGTCTCACTCCGTCCAACTATTGCTTACATGGACTGTGTACATGATCTGTGGGCTGACATGCAGCAGCGGTTTGAAGCGGCAGATGGCATGCGATTTCATGAATTGAAGCAGGCACTCCAGAATTGCAAACAAGCCGGTGATAGTGTGACGGCATATTTCGGGAGGTTGAAGACGATCTGGGATGACTTTGACGGGTACCGAAAAATACCGACATGTACATGTGGTGGATGTACTTGCAATTTGGAAAAGCAGATTGCGGCAGCCATTGAAAAAGAAAAAACACACGAGTTCCTACTGGGTCTTGACGGTCCTGTATATGGGAGTTTGCGATCAAACCTTCTGAGTAATACCACCGTGCTTCCAGGCCTTAGCAAGGTGTATCAAATGATGATCCAGGAAGAGAGACTTTCAAAGATGGCAAGGACACAAGACGCACGAGGGGAAGCAGCCGCTTTTCTTGTACGCTCCGGAGGAAACGGGGGTCCGTCTACTGTGAAAGACAAAGGCAAGGTTGTGTGTTCCTACTGCAAGAAAGAAGGTCATGAACGGGATCGATGTTTCAAGTTAACTGGAGAATATCCAGATTGGTGGTATGCAAATAAGGCAGGGCGTGGGAAGGAAAGATCAGGAGGCAGTGCTAGAGATTTTACTCGCAAGGGCATAAGTGTGCAGGCCAATGCTACTTTAGGAGACTCCAAGGCAGATGTAGTCAACGAACAAGGAAGTTCCAGCCAGTTGCCTACACTAACGGGTGACCAATGGAACTCTTTGTTGGAGTTTGTGAAAAAATTTAACGCAGGTGAAGGTGTTGAAAAGCTAGCAGGTATAACACGTTCAAACTGGCTTCTTGACACGGGTGCGTCATATCATATGACGGGAGACAAAACGGTGATGAGTGATATTTTCCCCGTGAGGTCTATACCTGTGACACTTCCTAATGGGAATGTTACATTTGCTAGTCATATTGGGCGAGTGAAGATAGGGGGGAGGGTGACCCTTGAACGAGTACTTTATGTGCCAAAATTAACTTGTCACTTAATATCCATTGGGCGTCTTATTGATGATTTACCATGTCACGTTATTTTTACTAACAAGTTTTGTGTGATACAGGACCTAACTTTGAAGACGCTGATTGGAGTGGGTGAACGTCGTGGTGGGGTCTATTATCTTTGTGGAGTTGATTCTGTGCGAGCTTCACATGTGGTCGGCAGTAGCACGGAGGATTTATGGCATAAAAGATTGGGTCATCCATCAACCCGGGTGATTCGACTTCTTTCTATTAATCACAATAAAGTTGATAATAGTAGAATTTCGAATAAGACTTGTGATGTTTGTGCTAGAGCAAAACAGACACGTGAAATTTTTAATCCCAGTTCGAATCGGGCTTTACATATTTTTGATCTTATTCATTGTGATGTGTGGGGTCCCTATAGAGAACCTAGTACGTGTGGTGCATATTATTTTTTGACAATTGTGGATGATTATTCTCGTGCTGTTTGGGTTCATTTGATGGCCGGAAAAATGGAAGTGCCAACTATTATGAAACGTTTTTTTGCTATGGTGAATAATCAGTTTCATACCTCTGTTAAAATTGTCCGGGCTGATAATGGCACAGAATTTTTGCCTTTACGACAATATTTTCTTGACAAAGGAATTTTATTTCAAACCTCTTGTGTGGGCACACCACAACAAAATGGTAGGGTTGAACGAAAGCACCGCCATATTTTAAACGTGGCTCGGGCATTGCGTTTTCAGGCCAGTCTCCCAATTCGTTTTTGGGGTGAATGTATTTTAACTGCTTGCTATTTAATTAACCGGACACCGTCTTTGGTTATTGGTGGAAAAACCCCTTTTGAATGTTTGTATGGTAAAATTCCATCCTATGATCACATTAAAATTTTTGGCTGCTTGTGTTTTGTTCACCGGAAGAGTGGTGACAAATTTGAAAGTCGTAGTCAAAGATGTGTATTTTTGGGATATTCTTATACTCAACGGGGTTGGAAGGTGTTGGATTTGGAGTCCCAAAAGCAATTTGTGTCACGAGACGTACAATTTGAAGAACAACAATTTCCTTTTGCTGAGTCATCATCCACCAGTGCACCTCATGCTCAGGACAATACTTATGGCTTGGAGTATCGTTCCTTTATACATGCAGATGACGTAGGAGACTTTGGGTTTTCTCATACCCATGAATCCACTGAATCTTTTGTGCAACATGCACCTGTACACAGCCCGCCAGGTGCAAACGTGCCCATGCACGAGCAGTCTCAGGATGCCACGGTGATCCAGCCAGTTGACAGGTCATCTACACACGTTCGTACAGCCGATAATGATGCACATGGACCTTCTGATCACACGCAGATCTTGTCCACTGATTCTATTCCATTGGGTCGTGGACAACGGCGTAAAATCCCAAGTGTACGGCTTCAGGATTATGTTCAAACTCATGCGGCTAATTTAGACCCCCACGACTTCTCTACTCCGTCTTTGTCTTCAGGTGATCCTTATCCCTTAGCTTGTTATGTTAATTATAACGCTTACTCGGTACACCATCGAGCTTTTCTTGCAGCTATTTCACATGAGCAGGAACCTTCATCTTATCAAGTTGCTGTTCGCGATCCACGTTGGCGCCAAGCCATGCGTCGTGAGATCGATGCATTGGAGAAAAACGGCACGTGGACTATGGTCAGTTTACCCACACACAAGAAACCTATACACTGCAAATGGGTATATAAAATTAAATATAATAGTGATGGAACCATTGAACGTTTCAAAGCCCGTCTTGTGGTGTGTGGTAACCGCCAGGTGGAGGGTGTTGATTACCATGAAACATTTGCCCCTGTTGCTAAGATGACAACCGTGCGTACACTTCTTGCCGTTGCTGCATCAAAAAATTGGGAGTTACACCAAATGGATGTGGACAACGCGTTCTTACATGGCCAGTTGGATGAAGAAGTTTACATGTATCCACCACCTGGGTTCTCTTCCTCTCGACCAAATCAAGTTTGTCGTTTGCACCGCTCTCTATATGGGCTTCGTCAAGCACCTCGGTGCTGGTTCTCCCGTCTCAGTGCATCTCTTTTGTCTTATGGATTTATCCGCTCTTATGCCGACTATTCCTTATTTACTTTGCACAAAGGCAACGATTTTATTTGCATACTGGTGTACGTTGATGATTTGGTTATTGCTGGTAATAATTCTACTCTTATTACTACTATTAAGCAGTATCTTGCCAGGTGTTTTCCTATCAAAGATCTGGGTCGGCTAAAATATTTTTTGGGCCTTGAAGTTGCTCGAAGCCCTACTGGCATTTTTCTGTGTCAACGAAAATATATTTTGGATCTTCTTGATGAAAATGGTTTATCTGGTAGTCGTCCTGCAGACTTTCCTATGGAGCAACATCATAAACTGGCTGTATCTACGAGTCCCCTCTTTCCCAATCCCGAACGCTATAGGCGGGTGATTGGAAAATTGATCTATCTGACTTTAACTCGTCCTGACTTGAGCTATTGTGTGCACATTTTAGCCCAGTTTATGCAAACTCCTCGAGTGGATCATTGGGATGCCGTTGTTCGTGTTTTACGTTATCTTAAAGGTAACCCGGGGCAAGGTATACTACTTCGAGCTGATTCTGACCTCAGTCTTCAGGCATATTGTGATGCCGATTGGGCTGCCTGTCCTATTAGTCGGCGTTCCCTCACTGGCTATATCGTACATTTGGGCGGCTCACCCATATCCTGGAAAACTAAAAAACAGCCTACTGTTTCCCGTTCATCAGCGGAGGCTGAATATCGCTCCATGGCAACTGTGGGGTGTGAACTCATTTGGCTTAAAAGTCTCCTGGGGTCTCTTGGTATTTCTCATGTTCGTCCAATGACTGTATTTTGTGACAATCAGGCTGCCCTTCACATTGCATCCAATCCGGTTTTTCATGAACGGACGAAACACATCGAAATTGATTGTCATTTTATTCGTGATCTGATTCAAGATGGTGTTATTTCTACTCGTCATGTTGGTTCCTCTCTACAACTTGCAGACATTTTTACTAAAGCTCTTGGTGCCCAGCAGTTTCATTTTCTTCTGTCCAAGTTGGGCGTTTATCTTCCAACCGCTCCAACTTGAGGGGGGTGTACGAATAAATACTCTAATATATCCTACCATATGTATTACGTAGTAACGTACACTAAATATATATTTATGTACATATGTCCTCTCCTTATTTATCTAATATTATTTATGGTGTAGAAAGATTCTAGGAGCAGTAGTTACCATTTTGCATTAGAAACAATTGTATATATAAATTCTGTATACGGCATATCAATGGAACCAAGGTTTTCCTTCTTCTCAATTTTATTTCTATTACTTTACCGATTCTTACCACTTCCGTATTACAAGTTATTCGAGATTGACTTTGTTCTTACTCGAATCTAGCTGGACTCAATATAAACTTGATTCGTATTAATCCATCAGTCCAACTATTACGCATATATCATAATATATTTAGTTTATTATGAAGATTGCTTTTTATTAGGAATTTTTCTCTAGTTGGTAGTTTCCTTCTAGGAATGTTTTCCCTTTCTTTCTTCTGGCTTGTAACCGATCAGTATTAGCTATATATACATAGCGCCGAGCTTGATTAAGTGACATGAGAAATTCCTGAACAAATACTCTTCCATATTCATTCTTATTAATTTGTTACCAACTCAATCTTATTCGAATCGATTCATACCAAATAATCAAGTGAAGTTCAAGCTGTATACCAACTCAAAAGAGGTGAGATTGGCAGAATAATTAGGAGTGAATGAGCAATATTTTAAGAAGAAAACAATGATGATTTTGTTTCATTTGTGCATTTTATCTACGTTGTATTCCTATTTAAGAAATTTTCTTGATAAGAGTAGGTGGAAAATGAAAGATTATTTGCATATTTGTAGATGAAAAAAACTATCAAAATTGAAGTGCAAGTAAATAAATATGTAGAGAAATATGATTGATATGTTTATTCCATTTTATATTAGCCTCTTAAGCTAACCGCAACTCAGCTCCGTTAATAAATCAAATTCTCCACTACTTTATACGTATTCATTCAGTCAATTCAATTTTCACTGCAATCCAACACCGTCAATATATTCACCCAGTAAAATTTTATTTATTAAAGTCTTACTTTTATTATGATACATCATTATATTGTTTATCCAATTTTTTTGGTGTCAATAATTATCATTCGAAAAGACAAACATTTCGATATAAAAATAAATAAATTTGGAGTTTGTAATTTTTTTGTTAATTGGGCTGTATTTTAGATTTAAAAATACTTTTTTATTTTTTTGTCTCCGGAATAAATATATGAAATCCCACCCCAACGGTTCCTCCTACCCGCTTTGGCCCTTCTTTATACTATGGATTGCAGCAATTTTTGGGATGAAAAGCTCAAAAATGGCCTTTTCGCCCCGGGTTGCATGCAGCCTTACGCTTGGCATAATAAGAACACCAAAAATAAAATAGGTAAAGTCGTACAGAGTACTCCCTCCGTCCCAAAAACAACTTCCCACTTTCCTTAAATGGATGTCCCAAAATTAACTTCACACTTCAATACTTTCCTTATTTGGCAAATTATCTACATCAAAAAGTGATAAACAGTGTCAAACAGTGTTTAAACAGTGTCAAACAGTGTTTAAACAGTGCCAAACAGTGTTTAAACAGTGCAAAACAGTGCACTCTACAGTAAAGCCAAATTTATTTTCTAAAAGTGTGTGAAAGTCAAACCGGGAGGTTGTTTTCGGGACGGAGGGAGTATAATTTATGTCATATTGAGTTTGTAAATTATACTACGTCGATGATTTAACATTACACAATTGTGATTGGTGTAGTATGAGAATGATTTAGATAATATCGAAAAAAGGCTCACTTTTAATTGACAAAGGGTACGTGATAAGATTTATACTACTCTGTATGTTGTAATAACGGAGTGATGCATTTGAACTTTCATTTTTTGAAAAATTTATTTGTACATAAAATGTGTACATATTTGACACACTCTCTTCAGTCTCTTGTGTATACAAACATTTCATTTAGGAAAAAATAGTAATTACCTATGTACACAGGCCAGTGTAAAATGTACACAATAAAATGTACATCTTTTATGTACATCAAGAATGGTGTCATTTTTACCTAAGAAAAGGAAAGGTCAAATATAGCACTTCATTCGTCCCTCTAACTTTGTCTCGTTTTACTTTTTTTGTCCGTCCTCATTAAGTTTGTCTCATAGCATATTTGGTAATATTTGGGTGATTACAATTTATTCTTACTTTATTCATACTTATCAATTCAATACCCACCACACAATTTCACTTTTTCTTAAAAGTTGTGTCACACCTCTTTGTC